AGAATCATTATGATCTTGGTGTATTACTTAAAACTACTGCATTCTATACTCAATAAGCAATTGAGATGACCGCAGTAGCATATTCAGAAGTACTATCATTTTAGAAATAAGATTATGAGAAAAAAACCACCAAAAGTTAGAATTGTTATAATTGAATTTTAGATTTTCCCATCGATTGATTGGATCAAAGTGCTCGGTCTCAGTTTGACATGTCGGCTTCTTGTGCAGATGCTTCGAGGATGTCTGGGCATTGAATTAGTATTTAATTAGTGGATGGTGACTAGCAGTGGAATCCAGGATGCGCATTTCGTCCTATTTGGGACCCATCATCTGGATATACCTGCATTTCTCAGTGAGTGATAATGTTCCCACCGAGGCTCGAATCCAGTCCCCATAGTTTCAAACGCCAAAGCGTTATCCGCTAGACCACTTGGGCCAGGAGAGCCACTTCTTGGGCAGCGGGTTATATTGACATGTCAACCTGAGACCGAGCACTTTGGTTCAATCAATCGACGGTAAAATCTGAAATTCAATGCAATCAATATGACCGAATGCACAAGAGGTGGCTCTCCTGGTTTAAGTGGTCTAGTGGATAATCTTTGGCGTTTGAAACTATGGGCACTAGGTTCTAGCCTTGGTGGGAACATCATCCACTACTCACTGAGAAATGCAGGTACACCCAATTGATGGGTCCAAATAGGACGAAATGCGCATCCTGGATTCCACTGCTAGTCACCATCCACCAATTATATACTAGTTAGAATTTTTACTTTATGGTTCATGTTAATAAGACAGAGAAACAGAAATATTGAGCTAATGTAGGCAGCAATAATTTGCATTAAAATCTATCATTCACTTATTTATTAAAAAAATATTTTATTCACTTAGTCAGTTACCCTAGCCATTTAATCATAAAAAGTGTAAAAAAATAGATGATAAATGTCATCTGTTTCGCTTAGAATTAGCGACATTATGCATGCATTTTTGTTAAAAATGCATACTAATTCTTGATACATTTTATGGACCGAATACAAAAGTAAATTCAAATGATTTTTAATTAGCGTAGTTATTAGTGTTAAACAAGCGACAATTTGTTATTTAATTATAATCACTGAAAACGCTAAGAAGAAGCTGTTCATACCAGATAGGCTATCATCCAGTTAAACAAGATAGGTGAATTACAGGTGAAAATCAGTTTAGTAATTCGCTTATACCACTGATTCATTCTGTTTGTCAGAATGAATAAAGTACGTTTCAAGTTTGACCATTGATTGACCATCACTTAGAGAGCCATTGAAAACCAGGGAGTACTGAATGGCGGTTTCGTCCTAGTTTGGAACTTATTTGGAGTACACATCCACTGGAACTCGAATCAGTGGCTTTAGTTCTAACTTCTACCAGTTCCCACAATTAGCATAACCACCAGCTACCAAACTTGAAACCAATCCATTCCCTACAAATTAACTCTTGGAAGTTAGCTAACTGATTTACAGATTTATTGCTGTCAGAAACGAAGAGAAGTTGAAATCCCTTACAAAAAATTAATCAGTACCACACCATTCTGTCTTTCGAGTTTGCAAATCTTGAATTCACATTGATATTTCAGCTTTATATGCATTATATTCTTTATACTTTATGTATTTTATATCAGTGTATTTTTCTCAGCTGAAAAATTTAGAGATCCTGCGATTAACTATCCTACGAGTCACCTTGTAACCAGAAGGTCCTGGGTTCGAACCCCGGTGGGTGTGTACTGATGAAGAGTCCCAAACTAGGACGAAACAGCTGTCTAGTACTCTCAGGTTTTCCAATGGTTCGCTAACCAATGTCAGCTCATAATGAAATCCTGTAACCAATCAACCAAATCCCTACAAGCCAATATCCTACTTCTTTTAGTTAACTCTGTTCAAAAAATATGTGAATGGTGTTTTATGTGTATATAATATCTTCATAAAGCTTTTAATGTAATGTTTTACTAACAGTTGCACGATTGGAGTCTGATTAAAGTCTGTCAAAGGGAAAAATAACTTCTGTAAACTATACCCAATTAGCCAAATGAAATAATAATATTTTCATATTCCATTTAGTTACAATTTGTATAAGTTAATAAGTAACCGGTTTGCATATGGGCTACAATTATTCTTGGACTGCGCCTTAACAGAACACCTCTAGTTTCTTTCTGAGTTTATTACCTAATGTAAACGCTACGTAAATGAAACACGTTTGTATGATGACTGAATACATGGAAGAAGTTTCATCATGGTAAATGAACCCAATGCTTGTGTCAAGATAGTTTTCTTCATTTATGCTATAATCGCTTTCTCTTCCTTTCAAAGTCACTACCTGAAAAATGTTTCAATGTGCAAATGCCATACTACTCTTTTTCTCAACTTAGCCGCTCGATACTAATTTAAGGACGATTCTTTCAAAATATACTTAGGATACTATGATGCTAGATGATTGGAGACTTGGTAGTCAACAATAAGAAGCAATTGATAAATCCTTTTTACTCCAACTATGTGGAATGAACGCATGTAGGCATAGTGGTAAATTGACTGTTTGTAGGTTCATTATATTATAATAGCGAAATACCACAGCTTAAGAAAACATCTCAAAAATGTCATTTTAAAATAAAATGAAAGTGTTTCTGACTAGTGTTGCATATTTAAAGTGACATAGTTAGTAGCGTTTCATGCAGAGCAGGCTTCATTTAGACAGATTTTATTTTCTATATGAAAAGGTTATCATCACACTCCTCTTTTAAACAATACGTTCTGGTTTTCCCCACGAAAAACTAAAAGCAAAACTATTTTAAGCATGAATTATCTTTGGAGATCATAGTTAATTCACGTGAACACGTAACAATCGTTTCTTTGTTAGTTTAATTTTATCACACACAAAAGTCAGGTTTATCGGACATGGAAACACCAGGGAAAGCTTCTCACCAAATACTCTTTTCAAATATGCATTTCAACTTCATTAAATTTGTCAAGGATTTAAAATTTTGTCAAGTGTTATAGCGATATTGTTTTATTGAATTCAACACGCACACGTGAAGACAAAGTGTATCCCATTTAGGTTATCGGTCCTACCACAGCAACAAATTCTGTTCTAATTATTATTACTGTCACACTGGGAACAGATAAAGAGTTGCTTATTGGTCGAAATCTAACCTACCTATAATGAAGTACTACAACCATGATTATAACTGTAGTTAGCATTGAATGTTTGAATTCTCTTCTCTTTTTTCAACGTTTTTTTCTTCACCTTGTTATGCATAATAATAATACATCTATCTTGTTCCTTTTGTCTGAAGTCTACTCAGTCACATGCTTTTACTTGGTTTATGAAGACGACGCACCATATACTGTCTAAGCATATTCCTACTTGAAACACACCACTTCAACTTTATCAAAATTAGTTATTTAGTATTTTTGTTTACTTTTACAGTTAAACCTTTTGGCATAAGATAAATGCTTGTGAGTTCTTTTCTTTACTTATGAATGACAGTCTGTTACCTTGAGTGCAGATGTATTACAGTTTCAGTGAAATATTCCATCCAAGTAATCAATAAATACGGCTGCTTTTATGTCGGAGCTAAGAAGTTACTGAAAGAATCGATAGAAGGTAGAATTCATTGGCTGACCACTGAACTGGGTTCCATTGTCTGAATGATATACGAACTTGCCTTGTAACCGGAAGGCCCTGGTTTCAAAACACAGTAGGTGCATACTGACAATGGTTCTCTAACTGATTTCAATGCTTGGTCATACTCGGAAAATAAAATGAAATGATTGACTTATTCCTTTTGGTTAACGCTTCATATTTTCGCATATTACCTACAACTACCGATATTCTTTCTTGTACTTGTATTAAGTTCATTAATGTAGGATCATAAAGAAAATATTCAGTCTATGAAATGATTTACTATCGTAGTAGTAGAAACATTTATACAACTCAGAGGTCTTCTGGTCTTATTCTTATTAATAATAGTAATGATGTTTGTAGGGAAAATATTTGCTTTATCATATATTATTCAAAGAGAAACTGACACTTAAGAAACATCTGATCCCTAAATTGTGCTTTCTAAGTACATTATTTTCCCGAAAGACATTTATCTATCAGTTAACGCATTGAAAAAAATGATTATTGCTTTGCTAAGAAACCATAATTATTGGAAATAACAGTGAATATAGTCTGAGTCTTATACGGATTCTCCATTTTTATTCAACGTAGGGAAGAGTAAGGGAAGCATGAAGCTTTACCTCGATTTCACACCTATTATTATTTTGGATACTGAAAATGTCGACGGTGGGCAGTGAATAATTCTTATCAGTTGATGGTGTAAGATATGTTGCCAGGCTAGTCAAAAAGATAAGAATAGATGTATGCATATACTAATCCATTCATAATTCTATGTCTTTTGAATAAATTAACCATATCATTTATATAGACAGACATTCTTTTTATGCTTATGAAGACAGAGATATTTCAATATAGGTTCATTTCCAGAAAATTCTGCTGCCATAAAAACGAAGTAATTACACAGTCAGAAAACGTATTCAGAAATGGTTTATTTCAGACCACTTTAACTCTCTATTGTCTTTTGGAAAAAGTCAAATATGAATTATTCTTTGAACACAGAATCCTGCAACTTATTACCAGACCATTCATCAGAATGAATATTTTACTGATATTAACTTCTGTGTAAGCTGGATAGGTAAGACCACATCGTGAATCCGATATCTTATAGCAGTTATGCTAATATTCATTTTAAAAGGAAACAATGATGGATGGCTTCGTCATATAAGAGTTAGATTTACTATAATATTTTTCTAGATCTAAGGAGATGAGTACTCACTCCCCACATATTTTTACATTTGTATTAATTAATGAATTCAGTAAATGAGGATAAGAGGCATCTTTAAACCGTGAATCCAAGCAGCTGCTCAGAAGCTACTCTCTGGCTGGTATCAAATATTAGGTAGTAAATTAACTAGTCAGATTTGTATAATTTTTTTTATTTAGTCTCCAGTATGTGCAGTACAGAAATTTATCAACATTCCTAGCATTTGAAACCCCACCATGCATTTACGCATAACCGCCATTTTTGTTCATTTTTGTTAAAATAAACGTTTATTAGAAGTTAAGAAAATAAAAATAAGTTACACAGCAGTGAATAAAATCTTCGTCTCAAAGAAGAAATCCCAATATATATTCAGAAAGTGAACAATAAGAGTTTATATAAAGTAAAGTAAAAATGGTAGCAGCCTTTTATCGTCACGCTTATACAAATTAATTTTCATACTCTCTTCCAATATTTAAATATATATATATATATACGTATATGAATGTATATAGAAATATATGTATATATTCATTTCTGTTTCTAAGATTTATCATTCTTAACAAGGTGTTCTCCACAGAAGAACAACATTATTGCTGTGCTTGAACTGTATTGACATAAATGGTTCATGTGAAAAATTCATCCAATATGAACCAGTTAGTATAACCACTTGCCAGACACGACCATGTTCTGAATCCAAATAAGTTTTCATTTTACTAGTCACATCTCGCATAGCTTCACCAGTTTTAGGAGGACTTCCGATAATTTCTTTAAATTTAGTACAGATTTCATGTTGTTTACTTAACGACATAGTTGATGCAATAATATCAATATCATGAGGTAGATCGGGAACCCTACCATCCTTGGCTCGTTTATGCTCTTCTTTGAGACGACGTCTGAAGAATATAATCAGATAGTAAAATTAGAAAAATACGAGTTAAAATTACTCTCATGATAAAAAAGAACAATATCCTTTTTTATTAGAACAACTTTAGGATATTTATTACAATCACTTTTTCTGAGTTCTGATGCACAAATATGCGATGAAGAAGTTGTTGACACGCCATATATTGTTATGTTTGAACAACAGCTCTAAATAATAACGTTTCAATGTGAAATAATATAGTGATCAACACACGGATTTGTAGAGAGTGTTTGTATAATACCTATTTTCCCTTCAAATGTTTAAATATGGTAGCTAAACGTAGAGACATAGTGTAGTAAATGACTTTTTAGTTTTTCTAATTATTTGAGTGCTTTAGTAAGCTGCTGAGATCAAGTATAGTCAAATCTGGTCTCTGTTCTCCTGGATATTTAATTTTGGTAATCAGTGAAAGGCTATAAAATAAAAATATTAACTTCAGTAATTAAAATATAGATACACCTAACTAAAGTTTTTATCTTACTGTACTCATCGATTACAATTTTATATTGTTAAGAAAAATAATTTATTTATCTTTGCAAACACTTTGTATCTGTCAGTCATTTCATTGTTTTACTGAGCTATTTATTTTTATCTATAAGGTCGACTTAACAATGTCTACTAGTCGGTAACTATTATAATATCTAATAAAATAAGGCACAACAAAAGAGTGAATCAAGACTGATCACTAAACAACATGAATATAGTTTCAAATGAGACATGATTTATGATATTAATTTCTTATAAAATGTTATACTAAAGTCATCATTACCAAATTCAGTGAGTGAAAATGCAAGGAATAGTTCGGTGATGAAGAAAGAGTAAAGTGTTAAATTAAAGAAATATACAACTGATAAATGCATCACTTACATTTCTGCCTGTTTCAAGCCAAGTCCACGGCAAAATTCATCCAAACTAACTTTACCATCTCTGTCTGTATCAAACCTTGAAATCCATGTCTAGAAAGCGATGCATAAAAAAAAGAGAAATAGTGAGAGAATAAAGAAAATTGCCTCTGAATTACATCTTAGAGGTTAAATATGATTTCCTATAATGGTTAACGTTTATTCAATTTTTAATAATGTCAGTCAGGGATGTACTACACCCTTATAGAACTTCTATGCTCATACCTTAACAATTTTGTTTGTTCACCAATTAAGATTAAAACATACAGGCCTAAATCCTAACTGAAGTTACTTTAGGTTGTTTGTGATTACATTTAACACTTGAAGTTCTTCGTCTTGTCAGATGATTCAAGGATCTTGTCAAGAAATCTTTTTTGTATAGCATTTAAAGCCCGTCAATTTATTTGATGCCTATTAAAACTTATAGTATGAATCGAATTGATAACTTCAATGAAATATTTCTTCTAGAAATTGACAAAAATCTTTATTCTAGAAATGGCACAAGTCATAAGCAAGAGGCAGTATGTAATATTTAGATATGATAGAGAAGATTTGTAGCTCAGGTGGATGATTTTGTTGTGGTTGTGTTCTCTGAACTGGATAGTTAATTTGCAAAACTTTCATCGCCCTACTAGGCGACATCTTCAGCGCATACTTCAATTCGACTTCAAATTGAAGTATGCGCTGAAGATGTCGCCTAGTAGGGCGATGAAAGTTTCGCAAATTAACTATCCAGCTCAGACAAAACAACCACAGTATGTAATAACAAGGTGTTATTTCTTATATTTTTGACTAAGAACTCTTATGAAGTCTATGTTCACTTCATTCACTGATTTCTTCCATTCGTAATACATTTTGTCCCTAATACGCTATTCGAATTAACCATCTTTAATGTATATTTATATTGCCATGATAGGAAATTCAAAAATATAAACTTTTCAGTTGAATCACTTCCATAAATAATTTACAGCTAATAACTTGAAATAGATTTGTTATACGGACATAGAATATTCGAAAACTCTCTGATGAGTTAGTAAGTAAGTAAGTAAGTTGAAAAGACTATCTACACTTGTTTTGTTTTAAAGATTATATAATTAATGGAAGACTAGACAATGTTTTGTATACAGCAAGGAATTTATATTTCAGTCTTTTGTATATTTGAATACATGAAAATATTTCAAGCAGCTCGAAAAGATATTGAATCCCAAAAGATTCATTTAGGATACTAATTTAGTCATTTATATGAATGTCGTCTGTACTGTTTACAAATGCTGATACGATTCGCTTTTATCGAGAGCACAAAACTCAGTTTTAATTCGTTATTTTTATCATTAATATAACAAGCTAAGAAAGTAAATGGAGAATAGGTATAGAAATAATCCAGCGGAAACGCATCAGATCAGATGATTTCTACTACCAGAGTCTAACAAGATTTATTTTAAATAACTTCAGTTACTTGTCTGGGAGATAATCGATCACCAGTAGTAAGAAAATAAAATAAAACATAATTAAATGAGTAAAGATAAGTTCTACAAATAATTGCTTACATCAATTTGTTTCATATCCATCCTATTTTGTTGACAGTATCTGACCAGTTCTTGACGATCAACCATTTCATTCCTATCCTTATCCATCTCGATGAATGCTGTAATAAACTGCTCCATTTGACTTTGTTTATTCGTGGACGCCATGATTAGTCAGTTAGACAGTGTTCAACTTATTGCTGTAATCTAGTTTTCAATTAACTTCAACACGAATAAATTATTACTACTTACCAAGCTAGAGAGTTAGTTAAATGAATGAAAGGTTAGATAATCGCAAGTATATATATATATATATGTCTTTAGTATGCAAATGAGTTTAACCATATACATACTTGGAAACATTCTGATTAGACAGACACTTTTTTTATTCATGTGAATGGTTTAGAGTATTAACTTTTTCATTGTAAATAGCTCATTTAGTTTATCGTGTATAGATCTACTAAGGTATTTTAGTGTATGCATGTAAGAATTGTTAATTTGGACCAATAATTTGTAAGCTAGATAAATCTTGAAATCTTTTTTTAATATAAGATACATAAAGAAGTACATTAGTCTGGTAACAAGCAACATATTATTTAATTTATAATGTGAAGCGAAAGCTTGAGATAAGTGAGTTGTGGAAACAGAGTAAATGTATGGAGAAATCTTTCTTTGTGATACCAAGTTAGAAACACAGAACCAATTTTATGAGATAAAAACTGTCTTCAAGATAGAAGCATTTATATAATCATGATTACAGTAATAAACTACAGGGTTAGATTTACTCATCTATTGATGAAAGCATAAGTTATTCAGGATGGAGTTATACTAAAAAATAACACTGTTTTCTGAATAAATTTGTTAGTACCATTATTATTATTATTTATTCCTTACATTCTGAATGGAATATAAGGCCTCAATAGTAGGTCTCCACTGAATCTACTTCTTTGCCATCACTTTCATCTGGCTCCATTTCCTCTTCATTTGATCTCATTCATGTCAGTCGGTGACCTCTTGATCTCTGAATATTTACAAGCATTGACTTGACATTGGTGTTTAAAGTTCAGATATTGTTTCTTGTTATGAGTGCTGTATATTTCTACATTAAGACTAATGGATGCCTGTCTTGCTTACCTGATCTGATCTTGACTAATTTCAACATTTTCATCCGTGCTACGTTAAGTTGAGACAATGTTCTTGGTGTGAGTGAAAGAGATGACTTCTTTCTGATCTTCACAGCTGATGGGGATCGGTACTTGTTTTTCTGGTTCGCTATCTTCATGGAAACTTAGCAATCACCCTGACAAATTAGTCAGAAAGTTCGAAAGGAAATTTAACGATAAAATAAAAAATGATAGTAGTGAAAGTGATAATAATAATAGGAATATTAATGACAACATGCAAGTCAAACATGCGAAGGACAACGACAACACCAACAATAAGGAATCTAAATTACCAGTCGTAATATCATACAAGGAAGGAGCTTCGGAAACCTTATGCAGAATCCTTAACAAAACAGGAATAAAAACGACATCCTAACCCTCAAACTCAATTAGACACAAGCTTTGCCGGTTGAAGGATCCTGTGGAGCCTTTAAAACAAAGTAACTAAATTCATCTAATCCCCTGCAGGATGTCAAAAACAGAATCAGAAGGACCAGATAGACTTTCACAGAGCTGAAATCGGTTTAAAAATTTACTGCACTTGATACAAAAAACAAAATTATGATTTTTAAAACCAATTTTGAATCAGCCAGGTCTTTTATGTATGCTATAAGCTTGAAGCGTCACAAAAAGCGTTTCCAACACGTTGTAGCCTTTTTTCAACATTCGCCTTCGTTTTATACTGAACACCAAATTGTCAGAAATAATTAGTAACAGGGAACTTCGGGAGAAAACTGATTTAGGACCTTTTGCTTAACGAATACATAGGAAAAATGGAGATTCATCGGGCATACATTGAAAATTTTATTTTTTTTATTTTTGATTACAGCTTGATTCCACACCGTATTTTTGGTACAAGTATGGAATTTTCAGCGTGGATATCGGTAGCCCAAAATTCGCAGGCCGACCAAAGATATCAGGTGTGCGTCGGCGAGGGCTCGAACCCGGGACCATGTGCATGGTCGGCGAGAGTCCTAACCACTGTGCCACCGACGCACATTGGATGAAATTGTGCGGCAGGCCCTAGAGCTGAACGTGAGTGGGAAACGATGGGCTGGGGGTGTGTCCTAGAGTGGAATAGAGGAGATAAAGGCTTATGGACAATCGCAGGGCTAGCTGAAGAGGACTGTAGAGAACGAGACAAAATGGGGATGTGCTGTTGAACCCTGTGTTTCACTTCGAACCCAAGGAAATAATAGTACAATAATAATAGATTACTCCATTCATTCCACATATAGATTATTTCATGATCGACTGGTCACTGCAGTCTTTTCATCTTTCGTTTAATACATTTGTTGCCTAAATGACTCAGACAACACATCCTGCCACCATGAGTTAAATGTTTTAATTTTCCTCCCCACAATGTAATTACGCTTAGCACACCACATTTATCTTGTAGATTCCACTTATCTTGTTACCTAACTAACTAAAACCAATCTAGCCTTAAATCAGTATTCAAATTCTACGTTAAAAAATATCAGTCACATACCCGGCTATTATTATTAGCGATAAGAAACTGCATTAAATAACTCTAAGAACTTTAAGAGACTTCGTTTTAAAAAAATAACCTGCTTGTGTAAATTCAAATGAGGTAAACAAATTAGTTGTCAATTTTTAACAAAGAACAAAGTTCTTGTTTCTTCCTCATTTAATGAATTCACACCTTTTTAATACACACTTCTGTAAAAGATTGAATGCTACTGAGCTAATCTACCAACATCAAATCGATGAATTATTTAGTACTTTGGCCTAAGAATTAAATATTGGTGGTGATAGCGTTTTGTATTCATTGCCTGTGGTTAGAATGAATCAATAACTGAAACTCTATGACAATTAAAAACATAGATTGAAGGTTTATTTACAGTAATAACTGACCTGATACACTTGGATGTAAAGGGCTGCCTGCTTAAAACTTGGGCTACCAGAAACCTCCATCAATATATTGCATATAATTTCTCGTATTCAGTTGGTTTAAATATACTAAAGTATGACTTGTAATAGCATTGTTTACCCTGGTGGGCATTTGAAATATTTACAATCTGCTGATTCGCAAGTTTCTACCCAACATGTGAATAAACATTATCATGTGTAGCAGTTTATTGCAAAAAATTAGAATACCCTTCCCAAGTGGTGTCCATCGTTCACAAAATGTACTTCCTGAACTTTTTATAATTGACATTCAACAAAACTTCGAGTATTTTTCGAAAGAGAAATAGGAGGGATATCATAATGGATCGATTTGCGCTTCAGGCTAGACAGAACTGTCCCATACGATCCACTATCGATCAGGCATTATTTGAAGATCCTGGACGAAGAGAAAATATCATGCAGTAAAACTCCTCTGAAAATTCGGTACATTATATAAATACTGCTTAGAATTAAGCTATAACTATTATTACTACTCTTCAGTTTATATAGTCCTCTTCATACTGAAATCTGAGACAGTTATAAGAAAAGCTATAAGCATGATGGATCTAAGTTGATCTTTTAAAAACTTGTAAGTCATATTTGTAAAAATGTAGAGAGTTATGTAATCTTCCCTTTGTTTATTCAGTGTCAAACTCTCCATTAATTAGGTGTTTACACCCTTCCTGTGGTAAACATAGAGAAATAGTTCTCTTAAAAATCCCTTTTATGCCATCAAAATGCCTTATCAAAACTATGTGATATTACAGAAAAAGGATTTATTACATATAATATGTGATTTGCAAATGTTGAATATGTAGAGCTTAGTGAAAGATTATTGGATGAAATTCCTGAAGTTCCAACGGGAAGTCGTCGTCATTAAGATCCACCTAGTCAAGTGTGAAAACAGATATTTGCCGGTGACAGTAGATGTCGGTGGCAGCATAGATTAAAAACTAGCTAAAGTTATGATTCCTCGGTCATTCAGATCACTGAATAACGACATGCTCACCTGGCAACCTGAACGCCCTAGGAGCGACCTGTAGTGAGATCATGTCTGTGTACTACTGGAAAGTGGAATGAAAATCTTCCAACCACTTTCCAGGTGACATCAATTTATGACAAAATTCATCGTAAAATTTCTTAATTATTGATCATTATAAATGAATAACGAAACTGTGTTTGCACCCTTCTGCTGACAAAAATAACTTTTAATGCAGGCTAGACATATCCTAATTGTTATACTACTTGACACTAAAATATAAAATTAATTTACGAGTTAAAAATCTTTAGAGAGCCATCAGTGAGTCGGTGGCACAGTGGTTAGGACTCTCGCCGAATATGCATATGGTTCGAGGTTCGACACCCCGCCAACGCACACCCGATATCTATGGTTGGCCTGTAAAATTTGGGCTACCGATATCCATGCTGAAAATTCCATACTTGTACCAGAAATACAGTGTGGAATCAAGCTGTAATCAAAATAATAAAAAAATAGTAATACCAGTTTGAATTTTATCTTGGTCTGTACGCGGAGCAGTGACTGTTATCAATTAAAAACACTTTTAGTATTGCATATAAGAAAAAGGTTTCTGTACTTTCATCGACTTCGTGCTAGAGATATGATCAAAGAATTAAAACTGAAGAGGATAACAGTATGATGTAAATGAACATTTTAAGGACATGATAAACAGACGAATATGTAAATTTCCTTTATATAGGAAAATGTTATCAAAGATTACTTCAATTCCAATCATTCGTTTGCGATCACTTTTGAAAAACATAAAGAAATCTGACTTTATTTCTTGCTGAATATTATCAATGTGTCCGAGAAGGCTCCATTATTTCTACTTCAGCAAAGTTGATTAGCTTTCGCAACAACAAATTTATGTGCATCTCTGAGTATCAAAATCCTCGGTGGTACAGTGGTTAGGACACTCACCGACCATGTACATGGTCCGGGGGTCGATCCCCATCTGACGCACACCTGATATCAATGGTCGGCCTGTTAAATTAGGGCTACCGATATCGCATGTTGAGAATTCCATACTTGTACCAAAATACTGTGTGTAATCCAGCCATAATAAAATAGAAAAAAAATAAATTCAAAATCTTTTATCCTTGTTTCAGTGTTTCTTGGGATAGAACAACTGTGAGAGAACAGGTAGGTGCATTTAGAAAGATTCTAGTAAGTAATTTGTACATCACAAGATAACAAGCTTTATTATTACTTATCATTATTCCCTTGGGTTCCTATCTGAACATGGGGCTTCAACAACACATCTTCACTTTGTTCTGTTTTCTGTTGTCGCATTCACTTGGGTCCATGATTGCCCAAAATCTCTCATCTCCTCTTCGCATTATCTCTTCCATATCACTTTCGCACTGACGATTCACTCGTTGCTTCACATTTGCATTCCACTTGAGCAATGGACTTATAC